TTTTTTTTTTTTTTTTTTTTTTTTTTTTTTTTTTTTGGTACTGGGGATCAAACTTAGGACCTTGTGCTTTGCAAGTCAGTCACGGTGCCACACAGCTAAATCCTCGGCCCCCGACTTGCTTCTTTAAAAGGAAGGAAGTAAACTTTGTTTTAAAATTTGGTGCTTTTGTGCATAATGATTATATTCTTTGCATAGTCCACTTCCTGTTCCTCTGCCTAGCAAAGTTCTACTCAGTCTTTAACCATGAAGTGGGGTGGATAAATGGGGTTGGATATGAGGGGATGAATTTGAGGTAAATGAAACAACCATGGGGCTGGCTGACCATGGAAATAAGGGGGAAGGAAACATATAAGACAACTTTTTACAAGTACTGTCTGATCTCATTTTTATAAAAATGCTTCAAAGTAGGCAATCAGATTTCCACTTTATTGATAGAAAGCAGACTGATGTTTTTAAGTTACGTGCAAAGCAGACTGAATGGTTTTTAAGTTATGTGCCTAAGGTCACAATAGGGCAGATATGGAGCTGGAATTTGAGTCATATCTAATTGTACAACTCATAAGTTCTCTAGTAGGTGGTTCGTAAAAGTTGTTTAAGGAAGTTTGAAGAGGAAGAAGTCTTGAAAAAGAGGTTGGAGAGGAACATTCAAAGAAGAGAAGCTGGGGTAGTAGAAAGCCTATGGAGTGGAGAGATACAAGAAGAGAACAGCGTCAGATGTAGGAGCCCCCAACTAATGAGATGGGTCTGAAAACGGACCTGGGATTTGGTAGTTAGGGTCCATTTGACAAGTTTAGCAAGAACCATTTTAGTGTAGTGGTTGGGGTAGGAGCTGTACCAAAGATGATCGAGAAATGGGCAAGAGGAAGAGAGGAGGCCAGCAAACAGACTTTTGAGAAGTTTATGTGAGAAAGGAAGAGAAAATATGATAAATAGAGGGAAATGCAAGGTGAAAGGATAATTTGTTTTTAGTTGTGAGAGGCGTGAGCAAGTTTACAGATTGAAGGAAAGGATCCAAGAGAGGGATAGGTTAAAGCTGAGGGAATAGGAGAAGGAGTTGATGAATCCTGTTTCTGAGACCAAAGAAAATGATTTTAGCTAATAAATTTTGAGCTCTTACTATGTGCCAGGCACTTTATGTGTACAGCTGTCATTCTCATAACCTGTGAAATAGATCTTGTCACCCTTGTTTTGCAGAAGAGGAAATGGAGGCACAGGAAGGTTAAGTATCTTCCCTAGGGTTGTACAGCTAGAGGAGCCTGGGTTCAATTCCAGGCAGGCTGGTTCCAAAACCAGAATTTCATTTTGCTTGTCAGTGCTCTTTGATTAGGAATTGAAGTATTTCATGGTTCTAGCCTTATCTTCTTGGGAATAAAATAAGGAGTTATTGAGAGAACGTGTGGTACCTTTAAATCTTGAATACTTTAGATCTGAAATTATAATTGGGAAGGCTAGATGGTGCTGAGTGTTAAGGTTGTCCCGTCAGCAGTAGTAGCACCTTTCCCAGTACTAGGAGTGCTGTAGTCACACATACAGGAGGTTGGTCCCTTACAGGGAGAAACTGAGATTCAGAATAACCACATAGTCTACCGGAAGGTTGGACTCCTGGGTGTGTGTGGGGGCCAAGAGCCAGGCTTCTCTTCAGAACTGGTGCTCTAACCCTGAACTCCTCCTGCCTCCTTGATGGGCTTTTTAACCTTGTGGAGAGTTACAAGTGTTTTAGAAATGTTTAATACTGTTTAAGTGTTATTTTTTTCTAAGATTTGAATAAGTAGTAAACAAATAAATTTTAATCCCTTGACATGGCTATGAAAACATGGGAATCTTCAGTATCATCCTCACTTTGCTGATTCTTCTTTCTTGGAAATATGTCTTATTTTTCAGATAAATGTCTAAAGCAGTTTGGGAAAAACATAGGTACCCTCTATTTGTAGGTGTTTCTGTAATCTTACTCATTTTATCAAAATTTTAAAAATTTTAAAAAATTTCTTTAACAATTTTGATTTAAACTTTATTTTGTATTTTCTTATGTAATTTTAAAATATCTTTTATGTGGAGAAGCTTAATTTAAAATGTTGCTATTTAATAATTTAGTGTATTTCAGGCCACACTGACTTACTTCTTATAGAAAACTTGGAAGAAAATTAATTGGTGGAAATGAGAAAAACTTGTGCCATCAAATTACTATTTCTGTTTCTTTTTGTTACTTGTTGAAAATAAAAGGGATGTGAAGGTTTTAGGTGTGACACTACCTGAACTGTTTCCCTTTCCTTTCTTTCCTTGCTTTTGTTTTTATTCAGAGCCTGCCACTGGTGAAAGAAGAAATGGTTCTACTGCTGTTGCTGAGGCTGTTGCCAGGTAACCAGAGCTGGTGTCTATTTCAAGGAGTTTAATCTAGAGCTATTAGTAATGAGGGGAGGATGCTTTACCATCAGAGGAAACTTGATGAAAACTCCAGCACAAAGGATTCAGTAGGGCATTAATCAGTGAACTCTGGCCTTTGAAACTCAGTGAGTGCTCTCAAACTCCTATGAGTGCTCTTTGCCTGGCTGCTGTGGGGAGGAAACAGGACCAAGCCAGAGGTAGCTGTGGACATAGCTCCTTGCGTGTCTCACACTCAGCCACAGCTGCCAGCTTTTTCTGAGGACCATACTGAGTTGTTACTTTTGCTTTGTGTGAATGCTGTAATGTTTTAATATTCTGACCCCTGCCGTGGTGGAGCTTTTGGTGGTGGAGCTTTGCCACCTGGAGGCTCATTTGTTTTTGGCCTGAGCTGCCCAGCATGGAAGCACTTGCAACAGTTGGTGCAGTCCAGGCAAGGGCTCTTAACGTCACATGCCAGGCAGGTACTGTGAATACCAGCTGTTGGAGTGCTATGAGGACTCTGACAGGATGTGTGCCCTACTTCACGGGGTGTGCCCAGTCGAGATCTGGCTGCTGACTTTAATTTCAGGAGTAGAAATGTACTGTAACCAAATCTTTAAATGTTTAAACAAATCTAGATTTTTAAGCCTGGTATGGTGGCACATCCTTGTAATCCCAGTATCTGAGAAGCAGAGACAGACAGATTGCAGTTTGAGTGTAGCCTGGGCAACTTAGTGAGACCGTCTCAAAATAAAAAATAGAAAAGGTATGGGACTGTAGCTCAGTGTCCAGTCCCCAGGACTAAAAGAAACAAAACAACAACAACAAAAAAGAAATTTAGATTTTTAAAAATAAAAATTTTAATTTCAAGTGAAACATTTCAGTAGACTAAGTTTGGTTCTCATTTGTAAGTTTCTGATTCTTCTCAAAATCCGTTCTTAGCCATGTCCAAGATTAGTTTCTGGGCTCTTGCATTTTTTTTTATTTATTTATTGTTTTTTCGGACAGGGTCTCACTATATAGTTGAGACTGACCTGGAACTCACTATGTAGCCCAGGCTGGTCTCGAACTCACAGCGATCCTTCTGCCTCAGGCTCCCGAGTGCTGGAATTTCAAGCATGCATCACCATGCCTGGCTTTCTTGCATTTTTTCATTTGAAAAATAACTACCTTAAGTTCTTTTTTCAGTAGCCCCAACCCCCATTGAACCCAGGGTTTTGTGCACATGCGTTAAGTGCTCTGCCACTAAGCTACATTGCCCAGAGAGACCCTTGCATGGCCCCAACAAATTACCAAAGTGGCGTTTGCTTCTGATCTCTGTGGCGTTAGCAGAGCTGTGGTCCAGACACTTGTTAATTAAATCTGTATGTGGGCACATTAAGAGGGAACAATATGTTGCTGAAACTTCCTGAACTCTGAAGGCAGAGTGTGGGAGGAGAAGATAAGGAGAAACTTGAGCAGAAGGTTGGTATGGTGGATCATGGAGTAAATAAAATGCATCAGTGCTGGGCATAGTGGTGCATTCCAATTTAGGAGGTTAATTCAGGTATTTAGGAGGTTGAGATAGGAGGATTCCAATTTCAAGGCCAACCTGGGCAGCACAGTAAGACTGCATTTCAAAAAGAAAAAAAATTAATTTAAATTTGGAGATACTCAGTAGTACAGTGCTTGCCTGGCATATGTGAGGCCTTGTGTTTGAGCGAAAAACAAAAACATTGATGATATTGTGAAGCAAATTGTATGTAAAAAATCTATATTTAAAATTTTTGATGTTTACTTTACTATTGGATTCATTGTAAGAAATTATTTAAAGTGTTAGAATATTATAAATGATCATTTTTCCTTTGCATTTAGATGAAGCTTTGAGGCTGGGGGTTTGGCTCAGTGGTTCCGCCACCTGCCTCGCAATCGCAAGGGCCTGAGTTCGATCCGTGGTACCAAAAACAAAAACAAACAGCAAACATAGATGAAGCTTTGTGTGTGTGTGTGTGTGTGTGTGTGTGTGAACTGGGATCAGACCCAGGGCTTTCGCACTGAGCTACATCTAAGCACTATTTTATTTCTTTCTTTTGAGAGAGGATCTTACTAAATTGCCCTGGCTAGGCCTACACTTCAAATCCTCCTGCCTCAGCCTCCCAGAGCACTGGGATTACACGTGTGTTCCACCACACCTGTTTTAGGTCATGCTGTTAAGTATTTATTGTGTGTAAATGGACTCAGTTCAGATTACTTGGTGTCACCCCATTTCTCATTTTATTGTGGGATGTTTTAAGTGTGTATAGAAGTTGAGAGTAGCATATTGGGTTGCCGTTTTTCAGAAATTATCAACTGATGGTTGGTCCGGGTTCATTTATAAATACTTCCAACCAGCCCTTGCCCTTGATTATTTTGAAGGTATTTTATATATATAAACACTTCAGTGTTATCTCTAAAAGATAAGCATTCTTTTTTTTTTTTTTCTTTTGGTGCTGGGAATCAAATTCAGGACCTTGTGCTTTAGAAGTAGACTTGGAGACACTGAGCTAAATCCCCGGCCCAAGTATTTGTATTTTAAAACTTAACAACATCACTATTATCAAATGTTCAATGTTTAGATTTCTCTGCCTCCCACATATTTTACAGTATCAAGATCCAGATAAGTCCGTCTATTGCATTTAATTGCTGTGTCTAAGATTTGTTACAGTTACATAGTCCTGTATTCCACCCCTATTACCTGTTCAGCGAACTCGTTATTTGCCCTGTTGTATTCTATATTCTGATTTCCTGATTGAATCCTTGCCCTCCTTATAGTATACTTTTCTACCTATTTCCAGTTAATCTTCCTTGTAAGTTTTTATTATGTTAATTTGAAATGAGTGAAGAATTTGCATTTTTTTATGTAATGGTAGCAAAGTTTTATTAAAGATAGGGAAAGAGACTGCAGAGCGAAAGGAAAAGAAGTTACACACTACATTGTGAGGGTGGACCATGTGCAAGAGGAAACCACTGTCAAATACTCAGTGTGGGCCTTTCACACCTCAGGCTGACAGCAGGTCTAGGCCATCCTATCAAAAACTTGCTTTAGTTTTCATGAGAAGTGCATATGCAGGGCTTTGGGAACTCTTCTGTGCATGAGTCACACCTATGTCCCCAGCCAGCTTTGCCACACCTTAATCTCTCACATTTCCCCAGGAGAGACACAAATCTTCATCATAATTCTTCGTGGAGTGTTGAGGGACTAGAAGTCTCTGTCTTCTGTATCTTCTTCCAGCTGGAAAGGGATATAGACTTTACCCACTGGGGATTTTGTGCTCTCCAGCTACTTTGGGGCATTGTGGTTCACTGGCTGGGTTAATGAAAGAACCTATCAGAAGACAGTGAGAAAAAGAGTTAGTGAGTATTAAGCTATCTGTTCGATGGGAGAAAAAAAGTGGCTATATTGTTGTGTTGAGAATGTGTAGAAGCCAAGTATGAGAACAGGTCAGATTTCCATGCTTCTTGTGGAGGACAAGGTATGGCAAAGAGGGTAGTTAGATAAATTATTGAGAACCTGAGAGCCATAGCCTTAGCAAGATTATTCACATAATAGATTTAATTAAAAAAGGAAGCCTCAAGCCAGGCATGGTGGCACACACCTATAATCCCATCACTCAGGAGGCTGATGCAGGAGGATCTCTGTGAGTTCCAGACCAACCTGGGCTACATAGTGAGTTCCAGTGAGTTTCAACTACATAGTGAGACCCTGTCTCCAAAAAGTGGGGGGAGGGCTTAATACAGGTACCCATTTAAACTGTGTGAATTAGGGTCATTTTCTGCACCTGGACCAATACTGCGGTCTTACTTTCTGAAGAGGACTCTCAGGTCTTCCAGAGTTTCTCAGGTATAGCATTCTTAGTCCTATGAAAATTTTAGTGACCATTTCCCATGTAGGATTTTCATAGCTTGTTGTTATGTCTCTTGAGGAAGGACCCAGAATGGTTCCTCAGGAACTAGAAATAAGGCTAGGGTCTTGGGGAGCTGTAGGGCTGCCCTTCTTGCTTCCCTATCAGCCTTTTGATTTCCCATTGAGACTTTAGACATTTCTCTTTAGGATTCCTTGCAACAAATGACAGCAGCCTACCTGGGAAGATCAACTTCCTCTAAGAGTTGTAGAATTTTATTTTTGTATTTTACAGATGATTGGTTGTTAGCAAGGTCCTTCTTTCCTGATTGTTGCATGGGCCTGTAGCAGCAGAAAGGCATATTTGGAGTCTGTATAGTTACATAGCTTCTTGACTTTTCTTCATACATATATCAATACCCAAGTAAGAGCTATGAGCTTTGTTTTTTGAGCAGAGGTCCCTGGGGAAGGGGTTTTGCTTCAGTGACTTTTTGGAAACTGACAACTGTATATGTCCATCAGTGAACCACACCTCCTCAGGGTTTTGTTGGTGGTTTCTTTTTTGTTTGTTTTTGATACTGGGTAATTGAACTGAGGACCTTGTACTTGCAAGTTAGGCACAGTGCTACTGAGCTAAATCCCTGGCCCATCTTCAGGGTTTTGAAGGGGCTTGTCACTGATATTCTGCCTGCTTGCACAGGTCTGGGATCACTTGTTTGTAAGTGGCTAACTTACAGACCTGTTTTCCTGGCTGGCTAAGCCAAGTATGTTACTGGGTTTCGGGGTGCTGGAGTCTCCTGGAGGTGGTTTCTAGGTTTTTTCTGTCCTGAGCAAAGAATTGGTCAAGAAAAGCCCAAATGGCAGCAAAGCTTTATTGAAGAATTACGCTCTACAGAATGAGTTTGGACCAAGTAAAAGTAGGAAAAGAAGTACAACCTACATCGCGAAGGTAGGCCACCATGCAAGAGGGAACCCAGTGGCCAAGAATTTGCATTTTGATGTAAGGTAGTTTATAATTTGGGATGAAGAAAGGGGGTTCTCTTTGTGCCCGGAGACTTAATATGCAGAAATACTATACCTTTACACACTCACACAACATTTTACTTTCATGTCTTACCGTAGTCCCCAGAAGACTGTATCTGTGTTTGGCTGTATCTGTGAAGCCCGACAAGGAGATAAGGCTCAAGGTGAGGATCTCCCCTCTGCCTCCATCAGGTAAGCATTATTTTTATCATATCTTTTGGGCTCTATTGTCTCATAAAAGGCCGGGTACCAGCAGCTAATACAGATTGCTATCTCTTTCTTCTAGTTGGAGAGTCCAGGAAGCCTTAGATTAAAGTGTTGGCAGATGTGGTGATGTGGCAAGGGCCAGCTTCCTGCATGGGAGGTCTCTGAGGTCTTTTTTAGGACACTGATCACCTCTCAAAGGCCCTGCCTCTTCATACCATCTCTTGGTGATTGGGATTTAAGTTATGAGTTTGGATGGGCACAGATATTCAGTCCATGGCATGAGGTAAAATGTGTAAATTTGTTGAAGATAGAATACAATGGTAGTTGAATTACAGAAATCATGAAGCAGCCAGAAGTGGTGGCTTATATCTGTAATTCCAACAGTTAGGAGGCTGAGGCAGGACGAGATCACCGAGTTCTAGGCCATGAACTCATGGGACAGTCTTGTCCCTTTTGGCTTTAATTCACTTTCATTGTTGCTTAGCCATTTATGAGTACTAAAGTTTCCAACATGAATATTCAGGTTTTTTGTAGAAGGTGAGTTGAATCTCCTTAATTGCTTTCTCGTATGTAGCTAATGTTAACCATGCCTCTGCCCAGTGCATTCCATGTGTGGTCATTTATAAACTTTGTGACAGGCAGGTGCTTTTCATTTGTCTTGTGGTGATTGTGTTCTTGCCTTTTCTTAATGGATCATATATCTCTTCAAACTCTTCTGGTAAACTGAGCCAGACAACATAGAGACCCTTCAGCATCTCCTTTCCTCTCCCTTACCAACATCCAGAGCAGGGCGAGAGCCTTGGAGAGCTCTTCATGCTTTCTTTCCTCTGCCTTGGCAGGATGCACTATTGGAACAAGAGCTCCTCCCAGCCCCCCATTTTCTGACCATGCATGTAAAGAAACATGTGAAGCTGCTTTCTGTGCCCTTCATTTTCAGGGTGTGTTTCATTTTGTGTCTTTAAACTGTGACACTCAAAACTGAAAGTTATTCTGGACATATGGTCTTAGCAAGCTCAGTTCAGAATGGTTTCCTTCTATATGTATTCTAGTTATTTAATCTGAGTAGATATTTGAAGTTTATTGGAGAATATTCATTATTTTATTCAGAGTATGTGTATTGAGCACCTGTTTTCATATTAAGCTCCATGTTAGATGTTTTAAGTGTAAAGATGAGTATGAAGAGTTTCTGTTTGTATCGTCTTATTTGGAGCTAGCCTAGGTCTTAAAATTTTTTTTTCTGAATATTTTAATCATTGTGTTTGAAATATTGTTATAGCAATATGTAATTAGTATAGAAAGTTATTAGTGAGATACTTTCCATTTTTTATGGTAAGTCTTTGAAGTGTGCTATGCTTTTAAGCTGACAGCATGTCTCAGGATGCATTGCCCATGTGTCACATAGTCAGTGGCCCAGTGGCTGCTGACTTGGACAGTGCAACTCAGGAAGCCTGCCTTCTTACTCTAGAGAATTTTTTTTTGGTAGGAGGGATCAAATTCAGGACCTTGCACTTAAATGGCAAGCATGGCGCCCCTGAGCTAAATCCTTGGCCCACTCTAGAGCATTAGTAAGGACACTGAAACCCTAGAAACCTTAGAAAACTTAGGCACCTTAGAAACCATGGCATTTATAGTAGACATTCATTAAATACTTGTGGGATGAATTACTGATCCCAGGGGAACTGATGAGTAGAAATGGGCTGTCTAGAGTACCGTCTTCAAGAAACCAAGTGACTGAAATGTAGAGCTATAGATAACACTCTTACAGTTTGCAAAACCAGAATCCCACGTATATCTTTCTCCTTTAAAGATTAGATTTATTTCTCTAAAGTGATTTGTTAGCTGGGGACAGAAAGTATCTGCACTGCTAAAAGTAAGTTAAGAAATGTTAGAACCATTCATGAAGCCAAATGAGATCTCATGACCTCATTTATCTTTTTCAAAGTAGATCTCTAAGGTGCCTTTCATTGCCTGTGACTTTAGTGATGGATTTCATCTCACTGTTTACTTCATTTCCTGTGTCAGGCAGCAGGGTTCATAGTTAATGCTGGGAAGAGGTTTCATGATTATTTATTTTACTATCATTGTGGAATGGTCCTGCTGCCATTGTTTTTTCACAAATGTGAAATTATTAGAGGCCTCACAAAGTGATATGCTTAGTCACCTTGAGTTCTTTGTGTTACTAAAAGTGTCAAAATATGGTTCCCCTTTGCCACTATTTATTCACCCCCTTCCCCACCTTTTTTTAATCCCCTTCCCTTTTGACATGGTGTTTTAGTCTACTTGGTCCACTTTCTGTTGCTAGTAACACAGGACCACAGAGTGGTAAATTATGAAGAAGAGAGGTTTATTTTGGCTCGCAGTTCTGTTCCAAAGCCATATGTGCACATGTGCCTGTGGCCTTCTCACAGGCAGAGTCCAAGGGTAGAGAGAATGGGGATGTGTATTAGCTCTGGTCTTCTTTAGAGGCACCAGTGTTCACTCCTGGCTCCTGCCCTCATGAGTTTATCTAATCCTGCTGACCTTCCAAAGGCTCCACCTTTACTGTCTTAGCGCAGTGCACAGTAAATTTGAACATGAGCTCCAGAGGGGTAAACTATATCAAAACCATAACACATGTTTCACTTTCAGAGGGAGCTTGCTTCACTTTCCAAGTACTCAAGAAGAAGAGAAGAAAGCAAAACTAGAGGGTGACCACAGGATTAGGCAGAGTGAACAACCTGTGAAGACAGTTAGTCTTCTCGAGGATCCCGAGTCTCCTGCCTCCCAGCAGACAGTCTCACAGGGACTATCTAGCCCACAAGGAGAAGCGATGGAGATAGACACACAGGAAGGCCAGCACGAAGAGCGGGATGCCCATCAGGAAAAGCCCAGTAAGGCCTTGATTGAAAGGCCCACCCAAAACAACATTGGAATCCAAACCCTGGAGCAGTCCCTCTGGGTCCCAGAAACTGTTTCTGCAGCAACCCAGACTGTCAAGAATGTATGTGAGCAGGGCACGAGCACAGTGGACCAGAGCTCAGGGAAGCAAGATGCCACAGTGCAGACTGAGAGGGGCAGCGATGAGAAGCCCATTGGCACCCCTGGGGAAGACACAGAGTCACTCCAAAGCCAGGTGAGAACACACTGAGTGCTTCCGAAACTAAGTTGCAGCACTTTTACTGAGTGCCAACACTTGAGAGTTTTGTATAGAATAGAGGATAGAAGATAAAAGCAGTTTGTTTATTCAGGCTAGAGATAGGGTTGTGAAAACGATAGCAACACAGTTGGTAGTCTTTTGGGGAAAACGGAGTAGTGGTGGAGTTGTTAAGTGGGCTTCAGTAGACAAAGCCAAGGATACAGTCTAACCTGTGTAATCTTCTACACTGAGTCTTTTTCTTCTGCCACCATTTCATGTCTCCTTTCTGGGAGCTGTAATCACCTCTGCCCTCTATTTCACCCTTCCTCCTGGGATCCTAGGCAGCAAAAAGCAAAGGAGAAATGTGAAGGACAGTGTGTAACACTGTCATGATCAGAGAAAACAACATAGTAGAGAGAAAGGGAGAGGCCACGGTCACTGGGGACTGCAGAAGAGCAGCCATGACTGAGACAGTGAGGCTGGAGGAAGAGCAACTCCTGAGACAGAGTGGGGAAGTATGGGGACTGGGGCAACAAAACACAGGTAGATTAGAGGGAAGGACAGCGGGACGGGGCTGTGCTAATGAATAAATGGAAGTTCACATAATGGCATCAGCTGGCATTGGGATCCATGGCAGAGAAAATTACCTTTTTCACTTGTTCTAATAGATCATCTTCACTCACTGTCTGCCTGGGAAGTTTTCCCTAATGCTTCAATCCCCACTACCAAAAAGTAGTATATATACACACAATTGGAAGGTTTCCTTAATGATGGCCACTTAATCTGATTATACAAGTTAGTCTATAGGATGCATTTCCTATCTGTTGAACACACTGATACATGATCAGTGTGCTGAAGTTTGTCCAACCTGGGAGGCTGGTGTTATTATTCCCCTTTCTTGTTTTTTTGGTACTAAGGACCGAACTTGGGTCCTTGTGCTTGTGAGTCAGACGGCAGCACCACTGAGCTAAATCCCCATCCCTATTACTCCACTCTCACAGGTAAAGAACGCAAGCTGAACAGAGGTTAAAGAATTTGCACAAGACTTTGCCCTCAGTATGTGGCAGAACTGGCTTTCTGAACTCAGTATGTCTGACTTCGGCATCAGTGGTCTTTTCACTGTGCTCTCTCACTCTTCTGTTTTTAAAGCCTGGCCAGTTTTTCTTTTGCTGTTTCCTGAGCCTCTCTAGGAACTGCAAAGTTGTGCCTCTGTGTGCCTTTTATAGCAAAAAGTCTCAAAGAACGAAGGGTGCCAATTCAGAATTCTTTAGGCTTAGACCCCATTTTGCTTCTGTTTATTTTCATCTTGTGTGTGTGTGTGTGTGTGTGTGTGTGTGTGTGTGGTTTTTTGAGACATGGTTTCACTGTGTAGTTGAGACTGACCTTGAACTCACTGTGTAGCCCAGGCTGCTCAAACTCTCAGTGATCCTCCTGCCTCAGCCTTCCGAGTGCTGGGATTACAGGCATGCACCACCACGCCCGGCTTTTTATTTTCATCTTTAAAGTATTTGTATGCTACCTACCATTTTGGTTTCTTTGCCTTTGTAGAAAGAATTAAAGAGTTAAACTTGATATTTCATGTAACAACCACATGGGAGACATCTGATTTTCTTTTCTTTTACCTCCTCTCTTCTCTTTCTGGTTTTTTTTGTTTGTTTGTTTTGGTTTTTTTTGTTTTTTGAAACAGGGTCTCACTATGTAGTTGAGACTGACGTGGAACTCACTATGTGGCCCAGGCTGGTTTTGAACTAACAGTGATCCTCCTGCCTCAGTCTCCTGAGTGCTGGGATTACAGGTGTGCACCACCACTCCTGGCCTCTCTTCTCTTTCTGTAAAGTGAGGTCTTGGACTCTGCTCATCATCGGGTTGAGAGGAGCAGTGGAGACCAAAGCTTTGGTCATTGTAGTTTTATAAAGGACTTAAGAGCGCCTGCTTTTTCATCTAAGGAACTGCTGAAATGAAAGCTTACATATCATTTGGCAAGTGATCATCAACTTTAGGATCCCTAGACATCCCCCAGTGTAAGCAAGGGGCTGGGTCTTGCTTTCTGGTCCTCTTGTCTCTGCCTCTCCCAACATGCCCCGCCCAACCCCACCCGCCGGCTGTGTAGGTGACCTTCATAGCCTTAGCCCTGGGTGAGCAGAAGGCGGGCAGGAGGGCGAATTCATCATGGAGAATGGTGCCAGTGGAGAAGCTGGCTTGTGAGTCTGCCAGTTTGCAGTGAACCCTTGTGTCCTGTCTCTGTCATAGGGAGAGGAGGAGTTCGACATGCCTCAGCCTCCACAGGGCCATGTCTTGCATCGCCACATGAGGACAATCCGTGAGGTCCGCACACTGGTCACCCGTGTCATCACAGATGTGTACTACGTGGATGGGACAGAAGTGGAGAGGAAAGTCACTGAGGTAACACCCTGCGTCTGCATGGCAGGCATCTTTCTGTGGGAACCTCACCTTTGCTTTCCATCCCTTTCCTCCCTTCTTACAAACATCTTTTTCTTTTTTTTTTTTTTTTTTTTTAAAGAAAGGATGTAAGAACTGGTTTTGAAAAGAGCAGTTCTGCATTCTCTTTTCTCTAGCTATGGGCCTGCTCTTTGATCTGTGGTCATTTGTCTTTTTTTTTTCCTTTTCTGCAGAGAACAGATTAATGAATCTCTGTAAATCTCTCTCATATATAAAATTTTTATATATTTTAAATCCATAGAAATGGAAATTGAGTTTGGAGTACTCTAATAGGTATGTGTGTTTTCTCATTGCGTTGCCTTTCATATTTATGCCCCTTGTTCTTTTCTGACCTCCACTCATCTGTAGAGGAGCTGTTGGGAAGAACTGGGCCTTTTTTTGTTTTGTTTTGATACCAGGGGATCGAACTTGGGATCTTGCCCTTGTGAAGCAGGTGGCGGTACCACTGAGCTAAATCCATGGCTCCTGGACCTTTGGTTTTTCAGTGGAATCTGTTGTGGGCTTATTTCCAGTGTCTGCATGTTATTGGCATTTATAGACGATTGTTAATACTCAGCAGTGTATGCTGACTTTTTGATTTCCAGAATTGTTTTTGTTTTTGTTTTTGTTTTTTGGTTTTTTGAGACAGAGTCTCACTATAAAGTTGAGACTGACCTGGAACTCACTCTGTAGCCCAGGCTGGTCTCGAACTCACAGCGATCCTCCTGCCTCAGCCTCCGGAGTGCTGGGATTACAGGTGTGCACCACCACGCCCGGCAATTTTCTAGAATTGAATTGGGTTCTTTGTTGCACAGTGTTAAGATCTGGGACTATTTTATTCTTGAGAAGAGGCACAACTCTTGTCTTTTTCTTTTCATCTCTTTTACCCAGACACTTTTCTGTAATTTTGCCAAGTAGGGGGTTGTGCTCAGGGAGAATTAAACTCTGCTTGATAGTTGAATTACATGGAACCTATTATTTCTGTTGTTTAATAATGGGCCTTCTGGGTTTCATATTAGATAATATTTGATATTTGAGAAATTGTCTTTTGTCCTTCATTATATACCAAATCTTGGAAATATTTTTTAAAAATACTGATTTATCTTCATTTTTTTAATGTTATTATCATTTTGCAAAATTTATGGGTTTATTGAAAAAGAATTTTCCTTCATGAAAAAATTCTGTAACTGTTGTAGTTCACATCGAACTCTGTATACTATATTGAATGTTATTCACATCACTTTATAGAATTCTTTGTTTTGTTTTGTTTTGTTTTTGGTACCAGGATCAAACTTGGGTGTTTGTGCCTGCGAGGCAGGTGGCGGAACCACTGAGATAAATCCCCGGCCCTCTTCATATAATTCTTTATGTGGTAGTTTCTAAAGTGTATTTCTGGAAATAGCAGGTCCTATTAAATAGTCTAAGTGGGTAGAATTCCATGGTACTGAGTAATTTTGCTATTAAGTCCTACCACCACTATTACTGTCATGGAAATTCAGATATGATCACATTAAAGGTTCTAAGAAATCCTTTAGTTAAGACAGGTTTTATTATTTAACCTTGCATTTCTCAAATTTACTCCACTAGTGAACATTAATTAAAGTGATACCCGTCTATACCTGTAGACCAGACTTTGGCTTTTGCAGTGTCAGGAACTAAACTCAGGGCCTTGTACATGGTAGATAAGTTCTGTTCCACTGAGCCCTCCTCCTCCCCCAGCCCTATAGATTTTACTTTGGGAAACACCACGGTCATTAAATAAAATAATAGAGACTGATTATGGAACACTTACTATATATCATAAGTTATTAGAACTTTAGTTAATTAACTTATTTAATCCTACAGCTATGCTGTCAGGTAGATAGGGTCATTATTCTCATTTTGCTGGTGAGGAAACAGGCATAGCAAATTGAAATAATTTGCCTAAAGTTGTATAGTCAGTGAACAGGGAGATGAGAATTTAACTCATTGGGAGGGATTTTGATGAAGTCTTTTTGAAGGCATTTGAGTTCGACACTAGAAGCCTTAGATCCTGTGAGATAAGGGAAAGAGGCTCTTTGAGGCCAGCAGCACACAGAAGCAGTCTGGTTCCGGGCCAGTACTGTGTAGGGTGTGGAAGTGAGGGGTCAAGGCCAGAAAACTCTGGGAAATACCCAAAGAGGTAAAGCTGTCCATGTCTGGGAAGGAAAAACAATGAACTTTCTTTCCTCATCTCTGTAACCCTTGTTTTTTTGTCATCTTTAATGATTTTATTCATTTATTTGCCAACAATTTATTTAGGTTTTTCTGTGTTGCCAGCACTGTGGCAGACTCTGGGGCTGTAGAAATAAGAGGCAGAGATCCTGTTCTCTGGGTGCCTACAGGAGACACCACCAAGTCTAGACCACTCTTGTTGCTGTAGTGAAGGTGTGGAAGAACATGTTGGGGGCGGGGGGCGCGCACAGGTCCGTCTGCAGGAGGCCCAGAGGCTCATGGGTGCAGGGCCGTGGGAAGAGGGTACTGCAGCCTGAATGAACAGTGGACTCAGTGCCATGCTCGATTATCAGCTTGGTAACAAGAATGTGTAGGGTGAGGAAGGGTGGAGAGAGTGCTGTCAAGGTTGGTAATGGCTGAGAGCATAAAGGCTTTGTGTACTGAAGAGAAGAGGTTCAGTGTTTTTGATCTGCTGCATGATGGGAACCTTTAATTTTGGGGAAGGAGTGATGTGCTCAGATTTTATGTTGGAAGTATCAGATTGGGAGTGCTGTGACCAAGGATCACAGTGGTTTGAGATCAGTCATAGTGGAGGCAAGGGGTAATGTGTGTCAAGACAGTACAAGGCAGTAGGGATTGAGAGAAGAGGGGAAAAATATATATGTGCACACACACATATCATATCATATATATATATGGAAGGACCCTAGTGAACTCCTAAATGTAAGGTTTTCAGCAGAGGAATCTTAATTCCTGGGCAGGCCAAATAATAGATGGCTAGTATCAGGTATCAAGATAGAGAAAATAAGACACTGGTTTGAGACAGACGTTACTTTATTCAGTAAAAATTTATTAAGGGTCTCAATTTTTTCCACAGTATGGAGAATTGACTCCAGGGCCTCATACTGAGCTACATCTCCAGTCCTCCTTCTTTCTTTCATTTTTTTTTTTTTTTTTGAGTCTTTCTAAGTTATAAGTTACGCAGTCTAGTCTGGGCTTGAACTTGTGATCCTCCTGCCTCAGCCTCCCAGCGTGTTGGAGTTACAGGCCTGTGCCACCAAGCCCAGCTGAGGGCCTCATTTTGATAGGTACTATGCTAGATTTGGGGAATATATCCAGAGGAAAGATGGTTAAGACTTTTGTCTTCATGTGGCCTGTAGGGGAAACATAGGAACACAAGTGAACACTGAAAAGGCCATACCAGGGTAACTCAGAGTCTGGGCCTTGTTGGTGCTACAAAGAGCAACCATGACTCCGGGACAGTTGCAGAGCTGGCTAGGTTGGCTCTTGCTCTTTGGGTCTACTCTCCAACTGAGACACAGCTGGGGATCCTACACACATCTCTCTTGCAGAGAGGAAGTTGACAAAGTCTGGGCTATAATGCCTGCCTTAGTCACGTGAACCACTGCCTGTTCTTGCTCAGATCCAGTCAGAGCTGGATGCTAAGGGAAGGGGACTGGAGAGTGGTACCTTTATGATGGATACTTTGGAGAGGTATAGTAGTGACCTTGGAAATGAGGCTGAAGTCATTTAGAGGAAAATCTTATTGGTAATTAGCTCAGGAGACTTGGAAGTTGCTGAATAAATCACCTAATAAATATCAGCCACTGACAGTGCAGGGGTAGGGACAGCAGGAAGGGTGTGAACCAGGGGTTAAGTTCTGCATGCATGAGACTGATTGAGGGGGGTGTCAGTGGTAATGATGAAGGAAGGGAAGAGCATAGTTTGAGGGAATAGTGATTTGGTAGCAGCCGGAGCTGGGGAGCCTGCAAAAGCAAACTATTGTGAAGATTTGGATGTTGACTAAAGAGAGCTACTGGGGTTGTGAAATATACCAGGGTGTCTGGGATTCATTGAAGAAAAAGAAATAGAGACAACATTGTGGATTTTGGGGACTGTTGGAATTTCAAGTGTTGGCTAGTTGGCTCTAGAATTTTCCCCACTAAGCCCGGAGTTTTGGCCTCTGACAGCTTCTTAAAACTGAGCTCCAGGCAGCCACAACCAACCCATTAAAGGGTAACATGTGAGAGGAAGCCCTTCGATGTTTTATTTCTATACATGCTGGAAACTCTCATACTTTACTACCTTTTTGGCCTTCATTTTTCCAAATAGCAATATTTAGTCTGTTTTTGCCTATAATTTTCTATTTTCTTGATCACTTACTGAAGGGCAATATAAAGTAACTAATATCATAAGGTATGTAATGCTGCCCACTGTAAATGAAGTACCAGAAGGCTCCTAATCACCATTTCTCCTAATCACTTACCTGCCTCCCTACCCTGCTTTTCTTAGACAGGGTTAGAGTCTTCTGGGTTAGAGTCCTTGCTGACAGCCAAAGGTTGTGAACATGCCCAGTGTAAAGATAATTCAACCTAGCTTGGTATAGAAGTTTCTCTCTTCTCAATCTTTTACTATCATCTTTACTTTTTATTGAGGTATCATATATCCCCAGTGTTCAGTTTAGCAGATTTTGACTTTTTCTTACTTTAATTTTTTAAGAAAGGGTCAGCTGTCTTACTGTGTTGCCCAGGCTGGCCTCAAACTTGCAGTCTTTCTGCCTTAGCTTCCCACATATCTGGGATTTCGGGACTTTTGTACTTTTATGCTAACTACTGTTCAAAGTAAGTGTGGAACATTTCCATTGTTCTAGAAAGTTCCCCCCTGATTCCCACCTTTCTGAGTTAAAATGTTTGTGTCATCTCTAGAATTTTCCAGCCATCACTTTAACATGTTAATGTGATTTAGCTTCTTTACCCATTTGTTCCACAGGAGACTGAAGAGCCAATTGTGGAGTGTCAGGAATGTGAGACTGAAGTGTCCCCTTCACAGATGGGGGGTTCCTCAGGTGATCTGGGGGATATCAGCTCCTTCTCTTCCAAGGCATCCAGCTTGCACCGCACGTCAAGTGGGACAAGTCTCTCGGCCTTGCACAGCAGTGGCAGCTCAGGGAGAGGAGCCGGACCACTCAAAGGGAAAACCAGCGGGACAGAACCCACAGATTTTGCTTTACCCAGTTCCAGAGGAGGCCCAGGAAAACTGAGGTGCAGACAGGGTCTCCAGAGAGAGCCACAGCAGGGGACAGGGTTGCTGAGATTTTAATATCACACCGAATGGGGAGTGAAGGGATACCTTTTCTCATCCAGGTTAAGCAGCCCCCCTCCCTCATTTGTTCCTCTCCTGGTTGGGGTTGCTGTGTTAGGAACCCTGTGTTGTCAGAGGATCCCCTGAAAAATTGTACAAAAAACGGGCGAGGGGACTTTGGGAATGCTGGGCACATGTTCCTATAGTCCCAGTAGTCTGTGATATATGTATATTTCTCTTGGGAGTGCAGGAGGTTTGGGGTGGTGGCCCCAAATCAATGTATCTTTTAGCTATTTTTTGTAGCTATTTCAGAAGTTGAAGTAGAGGGCCGAAATGGGTGGGCTGAACTTGAGGGCAGCGGTAGGAAGCTATGTCGGGAGGAAATGGTCTTTCATACAAAAAGATGCCTTTGACGTACCCTCCCATTCCATTGCCCTGTAGGCTGAGCACATGTAGCCTGGCATGTAGTCAGAGGGCCCTGGGGGGAAAGGATCCAGCAGCAGGGGCCATCAAACTAACCTGTGTTTGTTCTCTAGTCCTAGGAAAGGAATCAATCAGACAGGGGCGCCAGTGTGTGAGGAGGATGGTGATGCAGGCCTTGGCGTCAGACAGGGAGGGAAGGCGCCAGGAACACCTCGAGGGCGTGGGCGAAGGGGCCGTCCGCCTTCTCGGACCACTGGAACCAGGTACCCAGCTTATACGAGATAATGTGCAGCCCATGACTTGTTCAGAAATAAGGGGAGTAGAGAGAGGAGATGGAAGTGGAGAATATATGATGGGTGTCAGGAGGGAGAAGAGGGCCCCATATGACTGGGGGGCAGGCAGAGGTCAGAGCGGGGCCTGTGATGGGGTTAATGAAGAACTGTAAAGAGACACATGGACAAAAGGGGGAAAATGGGTAGGTATGCACCTCTGTCGTCTCATTCTTATTGCTTTCTGTTTATTCCCTCTCTGTAGAGAAGCAGTTTTACCTGGCCCACTGGGCATAGAGGACATTTCACCCAGCATGTCGCCAGATGACAAATCCTTCACCCGAATTTTGCCCCGAGTACCAGACACTACCAGAAGAGCAGATGTGGGCGCGGGTGCTCTGCGTCGTAGCGACTCTCCAGAGATACCTTTCCAGGCTGCTGCTGGCTCCTCAGATGGCTTAGACACTTCCTCTCCAGGGAACAGCTTCGTAGGGCTCCGTGTTGTAGCCAAATGGTCATCCAATGGCTATTTTTACTCTGGGAAAATCACACGAGATGTGGGAGCTGGGAAGTACAAGTTGCTTTTTGATGATGGGTACGAGTGTGATGTGCTGGGCAAAGACATTCTCCTGTGTGACCCCATCCCGCTGGACACTGAGGTGACCGCGCTCTCGGAGGACGAGTATTTCAGTGCAGGTAATAAGGAAACAGTGCTGAGAGTCACAGTCTGGGGCGGTCAACACCGCTCTGCCGGCTACTACCAAACGTCCCTCCATACTCAAGTCATGCCATTTCTATCACATTGGTTACTCTTGCCACGGGATTTTTTTTTTTTTTCCCACTATCTTTTTAATTTGCTGCTTATTTTTGGATAAACTTTTTATTTCAGAATAACATTAGACTTAGAGAATATTTGCAGTGTACAGAATGCTTCTAGTACTGGGAGTTCCTGTGTACACCTCACCCCGTTTTCCCTATTCTTAGCATCTTAGTTTGTCAGAAACAAGAAACCACATCAATTCCTTAAGATTAACTCCAGACAGGATTTAGATTTCACTGAATTTCTCTTTTTCTGTTTCAGGCTCTGATCCAGACCCCACATTACACTTAGTCATCCTGCTTTTCTGGTTTGGTCTGATTGTGGCAATTTGTTTTTTGTGACTCTGACAGTTTTTGTCCTTGACAGTTGTGAGAAATATGGTCAGATACCCATACAGTGTTCCTCAGTTTGGGTTTGTTGAATGTCTTGTTGGATTAGAGTGAGGATTTTTTAATAAGAATACCACAGAGGTGCAGTGCCCTTCCCATATCTCAGTGGGGCCTGAAGAAGGCATTTGAGTTACAGGTCGTCTTTGATGATTGATGGTCAAGGTGGTGTTTGCCATATTTCTCTATTTTCAATGTTAGTGTTGGGCCAGGGATTTAGTTCAAGGACCTGAGCTCGATCCCCTGTACCAAAATAAAAAAAAGTTAGTATTTTCCCTTATGCATTCTGTTCTTTTTCACTGACTTAACTTGCTTCGTGCTTTGATGGCTGTAGGAGTGTGATGGACACAGAGGGACTGCAGTGTGGGCAGAGCTGTGGTTAGTGCTGTTTGCGTATCTGACAGCCACTGCTTTCCAGTTGGAAGAACAGTGCTTTCCTTATTTTTGTGTAGAAGCCACTACTGATATTGGTGAGGGATTTTGCTTGTTTTTATTGTGCCCTGTGTTAGTTCTTTGACTATTCTCTCCTTTCTTTGAGCATATTTGAAAATACCTATTTGTATTTTGTCATTTGTCATCCTTTCTGGGGATTTTTTTGAACATGGATTGGGACATCAGGGATAAGCATGTTTTTCTTTTTTTTTTTTTTTTTTTTTGTACTGGGGATCAAATTCGGATCCTTGTGCTTGCAAAGCAGGTGCTGGAACCACTGAACTAAATCCTCAGCCCTCAGTTGCAGTTGTGAGGCGTCTGAATGTGTGGAATTCCCCAAGGAGTCTGTTAAATAGTCTGGATGACACCCTCAGCTTTGTGGCATCCAGGGGAGCAGCACACGGAGTGGGTCTTTTATGACCTGGTATTCACACTTTGTACCAAGTGAGTTCATTTTTCACTCACGGATAAAGCCACTCTTAGAGGTCCACATTGGGCCCTTCGAGCCAGACAGTTCAGTATTCCAGGGCAGAGATTCTGTGTTCTACTTAGGTCATCTACTACCATCAGCACCATACTCTTTCTAAAAGTTCTAGTAGCTTTTAATTAATGTTTTGTGACCACAGGTTTCTTGTCCTTCTGAGGTAGACTATGTGATGTAGTTTGGCGATAGAGATGTAAGTAGGGGTGCACAAGCAGAGGGAAAGGGATTGATTGTGTGACAGCAAAAAACCAGTGCCTGGTTTCTCCTCTGTACTCTTTTTCCTTAGTGAGGTATCTGATGTGTGTTACTTCTTCACTTGGGCACAAGCAAGTAGTCAAGATGAATGGAAAAAAGTGTGACTAGTAATGCCTCGTTATGTTGTGTGTATTGTGTGCATGCTGTAAATTGTTTATTGATTAATACAGGGAAATAAAAAGTATTTTCTTTCACAATCTTGCCAAGATTGCTTAGCAAATTTATGCTGAGGCTCAGGTCTGCTGAATTCTAGCCCAGTTTCCTTTAGATCCCATCTTGTGTTCCTGGAACATCAAGGCCTTATCTTCAGGTTCTGAATCAGAGCAGAAGTAGGGAAGGAGATAATAGGGTAGATTAGCAAAAGAACAAGATCTTTTTTGTTCCCCTTTCTTTGCTCTAGCTATTCTGATTTTGTTACACAACAAACATCCATATACATGTCCTCTTTCTTAGAATGATGTCATTCTTTTTTTTTTCCATACCAGGGATCAAACTCAGATTCTTGCGCTTGTGCTTGTGAGGCAGGCGGCAGCACCACTGAGCTAAATCCCTGGCCCTTGACGTCAGTTTTTAAAATTTTTTCTGGTACCAGGGATCAAACTTGTGTCCTTGAGCTTGCAAGGCTGGTGGTGGAATCACTGAGCTAAATCCCCGACCCTTCTTGACGTCATTCTTTACCTGCCTCTTAACTCAGTCCTGCTGTGTGGCCTCCAGAGGACCTATGCTGTGTCACTTCAAGGCAACCCTTTGAAATACTGTCTGTAAGGCTGGTCTCAGGAAGCTTTAAGTTATTTTATCATTAAATACTGCCCCCTACCGGGGAACCATTCTTGTCCCAATCCCAGAGTAGTAGTAGCTATATGTGTCCTGAATGTTACCATTTGGAATTGACACCCTGAATTGTTAAATCCTTTTTTTTTTTGGTACCTCATATCGAACTTGGGACCTTGTGCTTCTGAGGCAGGTGGCAGCACCACTGAGCCAAATCCCTGGCCCTGTTAAATCCTAATGTGCAGTCCACTGTTGGATCTCTGAGCTCCCTGACTCTGGCCTGCTTTGCAGAGTGGGTGCTACACATCCTAAAACAACAGCAGGCTTTTATGTTTTTATTCCCAGGAGTGGTGAAAGGGCATAGGAAGGAGTCTGGGGAGCTGTACTACAGCATTGAGAAAGAAGGCCAAAGGAAGTGGTATAAGCGAATGGCTGTCATCCTGTCTTTGGAGCAAGGAAACAGACTGAGAGAGCAGTATGGGCTTGGTCCATACGAGGCAGTGACACCCCTCACAAAGGCGGCAGACATCAGCTTAGGTAAGACCTCTACTGTGTGAGCGGTACCTGTGGGCCTCTCTGCATTTGAGGGGGACATCTGTAGAGCCACCAGTGAGGTTTCCCCAGCTCTCACTCCTCTTTGTGGCTTCTCAGAAAGTAAACTGTGACTTCCTATGCTACTGACTTACCTGTTTCCTCCCTGGATCACAGAGAGTCTGCAGGGTTTCTCTGGTCTCCCCAGTTCTGTAGTGGACCAGACACATCTTGGTTATGACAAAGATTGGGACATGAGACATGGCCTGAAAATGAGACTTTGTGCCCCTCTGGGAGATGGGAGGAAAGTCCTGTCAGGCTCTGTCCAACGTTTTGGAGTTTGGGGCCTCAGACCAATCTACTGATTTGACCAAACTCTGACTTTGTACCACAGACAATCTGGTCGAAGGTAAGCGGAAGCGGCGCAGTAACATCAGCTCCCCCGCCACGCCTGCCGCCTCCAGCAGCAGCAGCACGACCCCCACCCGGAAGGTCACAGAAAGTCCTCGGGCCTCCGTGGGAGTTCCATCAGGCAAAAGAAAACTGGTCACTTCAGAAGAGGACCGGTCCCCTGCCAAGCGAGGGCGAAAGTCCGCCACTGTGAAGCCCGGTGAGTGCTTCCTTCCCTTTCCTCTTTAGACTGTGGCAGAACAAAGGGTCGGCTCTTGGGAAGATGAAGTCTAATACATAACGATAGCGCCTCTGTCCTGTCCCCTAAGCCATGGGCAGCACTCAGTTTACCTCAACTCCGGACCTCTTGTCCTCTGAGCAGTCTAGCAGGGTTGGATAGACCATGGCTTGTTCACTCTCACTGATTCTTGTGTAGGCTGTAGGAGAGAAGGGTGGGCTGAATTTTCAGAAGAATCAAAATGCATACATCGTGTCTTGTCTGCCCCATCTGTGGTCTCCTGGCTTTCTCAGGCTTCCTTGTGAAAGGCTGTGCTTTAGCCTGTGTCTCCCTCGCCTCATGATCTTCCAGTCAGCCCCTTTCCAGTTGCTCTTGCCCAGTGTTAGGGGAGGCGGCCCATTGTTTATCGACTGTACCATGACCCAGACCCAGCTGCTCTGGGTTCTGGAGATGGAGGCAAAGTCCTCACTCAGTGCCTCAATGCTGATGAGCTGCTGTGACTAAGTTCTAGCACTAGAGTCCTTTTGTTTGCTGTGTGGGCTGTGTATTCTCGTCGCTGCAGTGTTTGCTGTATTTACTGTGCATTTAGAGTGTGAGGCATTCCGCCTGACTGCTGCATACATGCTATGTCATGTATGAGCTCTTGGCGTACAGGTGCTAGACCTTGTTTTCCAATTGAGGAATCGGAGGCACAGAAATGCCGTTTAACTTTCCCAAGGTGACAAAGCAAGCCAAGATTAGACTCAGCCTTGACTTGGGAGTCCAGCTGTGCACACATAACCATCACTCTGCCTCTGGGACTGTTCTTTTGCTGCTGGTTTTGTTGTAGGGAGGCATGCGTGACCTGGCTGTCATCTTAGCCTCCTAGCGAACCCATGATTCAGCTTCTCCAGGTCAGGTACCTGTTTTTCTTTTCAAGGACTCACTGGGGCACTTCTGGCATGGGTGTTCTGGGAGTTCTGGACTTGCTGGGTCACTTACCTCCTCAGGTGTTGGAACCCGAGACAGCTGAGGCAAGGTATTTTGATGTGGTGTGGTCTCTACATAAAAGCACTTGATTACCAAGTATTCTCTGCACCATTCCTATGAAGAAGGTCAGAGGTGAGGTGGGGAATCTCCCCATTACACTTCCTGGTAATAAAAGTTCACTTTTGGGGGGAGGGGGACTGTGTTTTTGTTTATTTGTTTATTTTTAAAAGACTCCTTCAAAATATCATATATCCCGGGGGAAACCCAAGCACTGGGCAGCAAGAGTGGCCTGAAGATTTCCACTTTTCACTTTTACCTTTTCACCTCTTCAGATGTGAAAGTTTTGGAAGTATTGGAAGTATTGGGTTTGGCTATAAAAAGCAATAGTAGCAGGGCGTGGTGGCGCATACCTCTAATCCCAGCACTTGGGAGGCTGAGGCAGAGGATCGCTGCTACTTTTACCTTTTCACCTCTTCAGATGTGAAAGTTTTGGAAGTATTGGAAGTATTGGGTTTGGCTATAAAAAGCAATAGTAGCAGGGCGTGGTGGCGCATACCTCTAATCCCAGCACTTGGCAGGCTGAGGCAGAGGATCGCTGCAAATTCGAGACCAGCCTGGGCTACATAGTGAGTTCCAGGGCAGTCTCAACTACATAGTGAGACCCTGTCTCAATAAATAAATGGGCTCAGTGGTTCCACCACCTGCCTCGCAAGCACAAGCCCGAGTTCAATCCCCGGTACCACAATCAATCAATCAATCAGTCAAATAAATGAATAAATGCAATACTAGTTGATTTTCATTTATGAAAATGTATATTATTATGACTGTAAAAATTCAAATTATAAAATTTCTCTTCATTGTGATTTGGTTCTGGGGCATTGGCTATGTCCAGTGATTGCCCATGGTAATGGTCTTTGGGTGTTAGCTCAGACAAGCTCATCAGGATATGGCCTGTGCTTCTCTCTATCAGGTGGGAGGGCCTTTGTCCAGAGAATGGTCATCATTGCTCTGGTTACCATGTTTTGTCTGTCTCAGGTGCGGTTGGGGCAGGAGAATTCATGAGCCCCTGTGAGAGCGGAGACTACACAGTAGACCCCTCTGTCCTGGAAGAGCAGAGGGGACCTTTGCCCCTCAACAAGACTTTATTTCTGGGTTATGCTTTTCTCCTCACCATGGCCACAACAAGCGACAAGTTAGCCAGCCGCTCCAAACTACCAGATCTCCCTACTGGCAGCAGTGAGGAGGAGGAAGGTAAGGCCCTAAGAAGCCCTCACAGCTGACATGTATATATTTTCTTCCTTTCCATTCACTGTATGAGCTGTCCTAGGAAGGAGCACCTGGGATCTTGGACAAGGAAGTAAAAATTAGTTTGACTTCCTGGTTTATAGACTTTTTTCACAGAATTCCTTAGTCAGTGGTTCCTCAAAACAATTCTGGTAGGGCTGGGGATTTAGCTCAGTGGTTCCGCCACTTGCCTCACAAGCAAAACGTCCTGAGTTCAATCCCAGGTACCAAAAAACAAAAACTAAAACAAAAAAACAATCCTGGTAGGCATGTGGGAGAAGGATTTTTGTCATTCATTTTATATAGGAGGAAATTAGCTGAGAAAGTAGTGGTCCACAGTAGTGGTAGAGTTGAAGTTTAGAGCCCAGTAGTCTTCCATCCACGTCACCCAGGCTGCTGGATGCCCTGCTGTCTTCACCATTTGCATTTCAGGGGTAACTAGTATTGGGGATACCCACATGGAAGCTGAGCTTCACACTCTGACAGTCAAATGTAGGATGGAACGTGGGGTGCACAATGCCTCATGGTGATTTGAGACAATTAATTTATACGCTGCTTTAACTTTTACCTCTCATCAACCTTAAGCTCAATCTATATAATTGCGTTTCTTTGTTACTTTGTGTCTTGAGGACTGATGTGCTAAGGGTGAAATTGAGCTCATTGGTTTGAAAAGTAGGTGATCTAGGTGTGCACGAGCAGATACAAATAAATACACTAAGTGGGTGACAGTAATATTGTGATATGTCTTTCAAGGCCACAGGGTCAGATGGAGGGATGCTGACTGATGTCATTTTGCAGGAGGGAATTGAAATTGGTGAAGGTGGCTGTCATAAATTAGCACCAGTGATGATAAGGTAGGCGTTTCAGGGCCGTGGATAGCTTTCCTGATTAGCCAGCACCTCTCCCCAGCAGCAGCCGTGTAGGGATGTGCCCAAGGACACAGTCAAGAATGAAGATCACTGCTGTGTGGAGGTGCAGCAGGGGAGATGCTATGGCTCAGGGAGGTGAGCTGTGGAAGTGGTGGAAATGCACGTGGGTTTGTGAGGGCTCCTTGTGCTGGGAACAAAGCCTGGTTTATCAACAGAACTCAGACAGGCATAATGGGAGACCAGCAGTGTATGTGAGGAGTTCCTCAGTTCACTTTAATCATAAACGTGTGGGGCCTCCCTTGAAGATTTCGTGGAGGAATATATATAATGGTGTCGAAACAAGTATCGATGGCCCTGCTTTCTTTTGCCTTCATCTTCTCTAACTGCCAGGCTTCCCAAAACCAGCACTATGGTGTAGTCAAAAAGCTGACTGTGGCATGAGAGGCAAGCTGTTTTTCATTTTCTGAAAGATCTATGTGCTTGTGAGACCTCATAAACTCTATTCACAAGAAATAAATGAGGATTTTGGACAGATTTGTTTTAAGAGATCCGCCCAGGTTTTGATAGGAAGTGTGCTTACACGACACATGTACACTTTATTTATTTATTTAGAGACAGGGTCTCACTATGTGGTCGATACTGACCTGGAACTCACTATGTCGCCCAGGCTAGTTTTGAACTCAGCGATCCTTCTGCCTCAGCCTCCCGAGTGCTGGGATTACAGGCATGTACCACCACACCCAGCCCAAAACATGTACTTATGTTGGTCCCTCCATCCTTGCACACTGCAGAGTTGATAATTTTGGTGTGAGAATGCTTAGGGGCTTTTCCATCTCAAGACTGAAGACATCTGTACTAAAACAATCCTCTGCTGATTTACTTTCTAAGAAACTGTTTAGGGACATGGATTTAGCTCAGTGGTGCCACCGCCTGCTTTGCAAACACAAGGGCCGGAGTTCTATCCTTGGTAACAAAAAGAAACTCTGTAGATGTTACAGATAGATGGGAATTCTTAGATGCCAGTTTACAAGAGGACGGTAAGATGTGTTAAGTCCAGCTTAGGAGACTTTGTTTATTGCAGAGTCAGGAATGTGGTGCCCAGTCTTGGTGTCAGACACAGGACTGGCTCTGGAGCTGGGTTTGTTAGTACCTTCTTCTTCCATCTAAAAACCTATTGATGGTAGCCTTCAGCTGAGCAGAGCACTCATACTCAGAACTCAAGAAAACTGAATCTAGGGCCAGGGATTTGGCTCGGTGGTTTTGTCACCTGCCTCACAAGTGCAAGGACCCGAGTTCAATTCCCGGTACCAAAAAAAAAAGAAAACTGAATCTAAACTACATTGAGAAATGAACTGCTTAAGGAATTGTTACTGGAAATTGAAATTAAATAGATGAGCACTAGGAATAATCCTGGATTAAGCAGATTTACAGTAGAAATCCTGAGAATAAAGAACCAGGAACTCAGCAGTCTCGGTCCTGAAGATCATGAAGTCATACACTGAAATACTGTAATGCCTTGGTTTACAAATGCTTCTGTTTAAACAGTGAACAATTTAGTTTGCAGACAGAAGTGGTCAGCAGAATTTTGCTTCCATTTGCAAATTCCACATGGCCATCTTTTCCAGAATCATAGAATAAAATTTGTGAACCAAGGTACCATTGTACCAAAAGGATCCTGTGAGAATGTTGAATTCTGAATTTTATAACCATGTAATAAGAGTTTCTAGTTTAGGTGTTTGAGAATGTGGAGAATTTTAAATCAAGAATAAAGGAATACAGGTGAACAGGCTGGCCACATCATACCTAAGTTAGTCAGCCAAGACCTGGGACTGGCCTTCACTGCCCCTGCATAGCAGGAAGGGAGGGCACTGCAGGGCATCTCTGCCAGGGCTTGATGCTTCCCCATGGGTGAGGGAAAGGGGAGGGGGCCTGGCATGAAACTTTATGTGCTTGCATTGGGCTTTTTGTGATAAAGCTTTAATTAGAGCTTAATTTCCCAGAATGCCTCTTTAAAATCTCTGATGACTTTTTAAAAAAATGTGTTAATATGAGATGAGCAGATGAAAGAAAAGAAGCTCAAATTAGGTATTTGATCAAAGAAGCAATTTCTTGCTGCCTAGGGTCATTACAGTTTTAGCCTCATCTGGTCTTTTCCCTCAAGACCAGAAGTCACGGTGCTCTGTGTCCTGAGTCCCTTCAGGAACAGCAAAGGTAGATGGTAATCGTAGTTACATTTTAAAAACTGTACTTTGTGTATTCTGGTTTATCAAAGTTCTAGTATACAGGGGTACAAAAAGGCTAAAGAGGAAATTTGGAGGCTTATTTTTTTTTTTAAAGTGATTTTTTTAGTCATTCCTCTCCTCCACAGAAGGCAGAAGTAGAGGAACAGGGTTTGGTTGGCACCAGGAAAGATTCAGGGTAGACTTAGCAGAACTTTTTTTTTTTGTGGTACCGGGAATCGAACTTGGGTCCTTGCATTGCGAGGCAGGTAGCAGAACCACTGAGCTAAATCCCTGGCCTTAGCAGAACTTCTTGATGGTAGGTAGGGGCTATATCCCTGGGAAAGGGATATATGTGGGAACCATTGGTATATTCAGGTATAGGACCTGCCTTCCATCCTCATCTTTTCAGTTCCTGCTCTTGTCCCTTCTTGTGGCCTCAAGATTTCTTTCTAAGCCGAGGAAACCCTAGACCTGTCTGGAACACACTGCCATGGAGATGGGTGGAAAGGGGGAAGATGGAGGCGTGAAGGAGAGGAACCCAACTCATATTTTTATCTTTTTTTTTTTTAAATAGAGTTTTTAGAAATTCCTCCTTTCAACAAGCAGTACACAGAATCCCAGCTTCGAGCAGGAGCTGGCTATATCCTTGAAGATTTCAATGAAGCCCAGGTGAGGCACTTGTTTTGTGCAGCTACCTTGTGTGGCAATGAGAAAAACCTACTTTCTGCCCAGAGAGTCTTGAGAGTTTAAGATAAAGTAGCCAGAGGTTTCAGGAGCCTGGGAATGGTTAGAAAAACTGTTATATGAAAACAGGAAGAGCCATCAGAACTGAGTTAGTTATGGCTGTGGTTCTGCTGCTGGGACAAAAGCAGACTGAAATTTATGTTTAGTAGAAATTCCTATGCAGTCTTAGCCTGAAATGCTGAGTACATGGCTTTGGTTGTCCCTTGCAGACTCAGGCCCTCCAAAAGCTGTGAGTCAGAAAATGCCTAGGGCAGAGGTGGCAAACCTATGGCTTGTGTGCCACAGGAGGCTGTTTGTATCACTGAAAGCTCTGAAACGGTTCGCCACTCCTGGTCTGGGGCTTTCAGTGAGAAAAACATCTAGGGCACAAGGACAGACTCACTCATGTTTTGGATATGCCCCTCAAGTTCACTAGGACTGCTATTCACGAACTTTCCAGACATCACCAGACCCACTGGCTCTGTGCCTCTTCTTCCAGTGTAACACGGCCTACCAGTGTCTTCTCATTGCTGATCAGCACTGCCGGACCCGGAAGTACTTCCTGTGCCTTGCCAGTGGGATCCCTTGTGTGTCTCATGTCTGGGTCCATGACAGTTGCCATGCTAACCAGCTCCAGAACTACCGTAATTATCTGTTGCCAGCTGGGTACAGCCTTGAGGAGCAGAGAATTCTCGACTGGTGAGTATTCAGGAGTCCATTCAAAGCCAAACAAGGCAGAGGACAGTGAGCTTTTGGAAGGAGACTCTAAATGAGAGCATTTTAAAAAAAACGTGTTTCTAGAAACTGCAGTGTCTCTAGAAGCCACAGAATTTGAGTGGGTTTGAAATGATTTCAAAAGTTCATTTACTTTATTTCAAAGTTTATTTCCATATTAGGAGGGAATCTTTTGAAAATGTGTGAGGATTTATATGTAGATTCAGTAGCCCCAACCTGTAAGTATAGGGAGCTAAGTTGCAAGCAAGCATTTAAAAAGAAAAAGAAAAAACAAACCTCAGTAACACAATTTGGATTATTCCCAGTCCCTGGACAAACGTGGAAGTCCAAATGGTACAGCAGAAGGCAGGGATCCCAGAGAATTCGCCTCACTCACAAGAAGGGGAAGGAAGGCGTGGCCCTGACACGGGGCTCAGCTTTGAAAGTATTTTCATACACTTGAGATCCTTTGTGTAAGGGCTGTTTGCTGTATAGAATGTTACTTGCATGTCCTTTCCAGTTCCAGAGGGCCTTGTCTCTGACTTCCTCACAGGCAACCCCGGGAAAACCCTTTCCAGAATCTGAAGGTACTCTTAGTGTCGGATCAGCAGCAGAACTTCCTGGAGCTCTGGTCTGAGATCCTCATGACAGGGGGCGCAGCCTCTGTGAAGCAGCACCATTCCAGTGCCCATAACAAAGGTACCTGTGTGCAGTGTGTGTGCTTTTGTCACTGTCCCAGGGACGTCCTTAGACCTGTAGCTCTCAGGCTCGTGCACAGGTCAGTCCTGACAGGTGGACCTTGCCCATACGTGTAAGAGTCCCACTGTCAGGAGGTGAGTGGCTGTGAGTGAAGCAGTGGGCTGTTCACATTTTACTGGATTTCAGTGGTGTACTTAAGCTTTTCTACATGGTTGCCATCTAGCAATCACCTTTTTACTTTCAGTTGTGCTTGATGTAATGGGGGTCTTAGTCTGGGCAAAGTAGTATACTGTGGCAAGAAAGCAACACTATCTTTGTAATGGAGGGCTGAATTAAGCGTCCTCTCCTCATTCCTTTCCCTGCTCCCTGCAGATATTGCTCTAGGGGTGTTTGACGTGGTGGTGACAGACCCCTCGTGCCCAGCCTCCGTGCTGAAGTGTGCTGAAGCATTGCAGCTGCCTGTGGTGTCTCAAGAGTGGGTGATCCAGTGCCTCATTGTTGGGGAGAGAATTGGATTCAAGCAGCATCCAAAATACAAACACAACTATGTTTCTCACTAAAGATATTTGGTCTTTCTGGTTTTATTCCCTACTATTGTGGAGATTGTGTTTTAACCAGGTTTTAAATGTGTCGTGTGTAACTGGATTCTTTGCATGGATCTTGTATATAGTTTTATTTGCTGGACTTTTATGATAAAATAAATGTTGAATCTCTTTGGTTGTAGTAACTGGGATTTCTTCATCTGTTTCTTTGAGCTTGACCTCAACAAACAAACAGGACTTTCTCTGAAAGTCTCATAGGTTTGTTCACTTTAGGACAGTTGGCCAAGGAAAATAAAAATTTGGCAGTGAACTCTGTTTTGGCACCATTGTCAAAAAGTTATCCAGGCTCTTTAAAATGCTGTGGTTCCAAAAACTTGATTTTAAAATAGGCAAGGGACCAGACTATTAGGCCCAAAGTGGAGTGGGACAGCTGTCAGTTCCTGCTAAAAAGGTGTCACTTCCCTCTGAGCAGAGTTCACTCTGGACAGCTGACCTGTTGTTTCCCCCATGCTCAGGAGAAAGCGAAGGGACCAGCAGCCGTCAGTGGAGTGACTGGAACACTCCACTCGGAGACCCACTACGACTGTTGCCATCATAGCAGCCGGAAGCTCTTCCTTCCCTGCCCCTGTATACCCTCTCCTCTAGAGACAGGCAGTAAAGATGTTAGGTTTTGTGGGCCATCTAGTCTGTGTGCAGTCATGGGCTAGGAGAGTGGAGTGTGGCCATCTCACAGCAGGTGACGGCTGCCAAGCCCTGCTCTAGTGGAAGTTCATCTTTAGTTGACAGCTGTAGTGGGGATGAAGGGTTTCACAGTGTGCTCTAGAAGATGAAGACCAGGTTCATTTACTACAAACTAAGGCCAGAACTTGTGTTTTTTTCTAATTTGAGGGAGTTCAATGAATATTTATTTTGTCTACACTGACACTAATGATTTTTTTCTTTTAGGGAACTGCTTTATATTCTCATTAGGTAGAGCTGCCCTTTTACTTGTCTAAAAGAATTGGGGCTTACCGACCAAATTCTTCAGATTCAGTTCTGAAGATCCTTAAGGGTAGGAGACTTTCGTACATTTTTGAGGAGGAAAAATAATCTGTGTAGGTATAAAGTTAAAAGAGGGAAAGGCTATTTTCCTGTGTCTGTCTTGGTGATATCCAGCAGTTAAATTGTTTATAATTTCTTTTCTACATGTCAATTACAAAATATTTAACTTTCTGATCTGTTTACTGCTGTATCTCCCACACCTTGAATTGTACCAAGGCATATAGTAAATGCTTAATAAAACTACTGCTGTATAAATGAACACATCCAGCAGATGTTTCAGGGTGAAGAAGCAGAGTTCTTGCAAGGCCAGTAGAGGGACAGTGGATGACACCACACACCCTCCTTGGCTGGCAAGTTAAGAACCCTCCCAGAAGTGGGGCAGTCACCTACCATATGGGAATGATGGGAAGGGTTTATACCTCTAGGTTGCTTCCAAGAGAAAGGGCAGAGCCTTCTCATCAGACAGCGGTGTTTGGTGAGTGGGTAAGTGTTGTGAATCTTCTGTTATAAACGTGGGAAGTGGTGGAACTGACTGTTTTATCAGTTTATGGAAGCAGAAATTTTCATATCCCAAAACTACAAAAGAAAAAAAAGAGCCTCATTAAGTACCACACTTTTCCAAGATTGTCTTTAAAGAAACAAATCATTACCTACATAATGTTACCTTAACATTCCTGCTAAAGTCACAGAAAAAAATGTGTTTGGGGACATTTTAGAGACAGGAGGGAGGGCAATAAAATGCTTTTATGAAAGGAAGTAACACAGACCTCTGAGAAGCAACGGCCACTGAATCGAGATGTTTTAAAAGTTTTGAGTCAGAAGCTGGGGGCCAGCAAAGCCCAGGGCCTGTGGCTGCACCAGCTGTTTTGTGTCAGAGCTGGGACTAAAAGCCACACTGTTGCCCAGCACAGTATGTAACCTTGCACATGACCTGAAGCCCTTCTCACTGTCCACAGTTTTAGTATTTTACTTTGATGATGTTTTTACTTCAAGATAACCATTAACGTTACTAAAGATGGTTAGACACACACTCCTATATCTTTGAGCCTTGTTTATGAAATGAGGGAATTTGTATGACTAAAGTCACCTTCCTGCTCTGGAATTCCACAGCTCATTAAAAAGCCACGCACAGTCTGTTGAGTTTCCAAGTGTTGCTCCTACCTGCCCAAAGTTCCACCAGCCTGGGTATAGTATTTATTATAATCTAGCCGTAACAGTAGCTGGGCCAGATCGGAGTTGATCTGATGATTCCGAACACTGGAGAGAATCTTGAACAGGAGTGAAGACTGGCGGCTAAAGCCCTGCAGAGAGAAGGACTCAGGCTGTCATCCCCTTAACTTCCCTGTTCCCTGGGGAGTCAGTGCAGAGAGGCCCCCAGGAACAGCCTTGTTAGAATCCCCCAAAGCCACCTGGCCTTCCCACAAGCCCTTTCTATCAGCTCCTGTAATGACTTCCTTAGTACTATACCAGCTCTTTAGAATGCATGGCTTTCTATGAAACGACTTTCTCATTAGGAGGAATTTAGCAGCTGGTTTCAGATGAATCTATTCTGTCATGTACTGGGGTTGGGGCAGGCTTGTTCCTATTACAGGGAGATGATACTACAATCTCAGTGAAAGGGGTTTAGTTCAAGGAAGGAAGGAAGCAAGGAGATAGGATGGGGAAAGGGCGCACAATGCCAAGGTGCATTTCAGGCTGAACAGACTACCTACTGAGGGTGAAATTATGTTTTAACAGGGAGGTGGCACATGAATCATGTACCTCACAGTCAACTCATACTGACATTTTAGTCTCTGTAACATGTTGTTTGTGTTCATTGCTTTACTGACTTGGAGAAAAGATCAGGAACCCTACAAGGGCAACACCGCCTCTGCCCTGTGGACAGACCGTGCCCTTCCTGTGTCAGCCTTGCTCACCTTCACGAGAATGCTCAGCTGGGCAGCTCCACGCTCATCCAGTGGGCCCAGGTTCTGACTGACCAGGGAACAGAAACTGTGACAGAGATCTAGGATTTCATTCAGGCAATGAAACACCTGCCCAGGAAAGAGGGCGGACATTAGAAAAAGAAGGAAGATACATCTGTGAAATGAAAGAAGCAGGAAGTCTATCAGCTGACCTCCTACACTTGACCTCACACTGCTACCCGGAAGGCCTGCTGGCCCCTCAGACGCAACACATGTGAATGCATTCTCAGTCTCCTTTCCTCTAGTCGCGTTAGACCAGTCACAAGCACCTGCACCACGGTGTGTGTTCCTGCTCGGAGCTAAGTGTTGTTCTCATGTCCACAGCACTCTTCTCTTTGCTGTGAGTGCCCTTCCCACGCTGTAGTGGTAGTGAGCCCCAGGTCTCTGTGCTGTGATCCGTGCCGTAAACTTGGCATCCACTGACTTCTGTATAAATATGTGTTTTGTCTCTCCAACTAGATTGTGAGCTCCTTAAGGGCACAGCCATGACTTATACCTCTGTATCCCCAGTGCCTTGCACTCAATAAATAAATATTCAATGAAGATGACCTGTTTTGATGCTGCTTTTCCCCATGATGCACTCAAGCTGTGCAAGGACAGGTCTACCCAGCACAGCGGCTGTGGTTTGTAGTCCTCGGAACCCTTAGGAGTGGCATCTGTGTATCTCCCTCACTGACGTAGCAAAAGGAACAGCCGGATGCCAGGACATAAACAAGGTGTAACACCTATGCTGCGGCACAGGGAGCACTCACAGCCAGCCAGAGATAAGGACAAGATCATTTCAGTCTTCCTCCTTTTAGTCCTGGGCTGGCAGCCGGCCTGAGCAGTAAGGAGTAGGATGTGTGCATCCCACTGCGGGGATTCTAATTTGAGCGCTCTGGGTCCCAGAGGATCCCGTCGTGTGGTGAAAGTTGAGAACAACTGCCAAGAGCGAGACAGGCACGTGTACTGACGCACACAGATACAGAGACAGCTGTTACTCTAGTGGTCCGTGCAACAACTTTGAAACGGCTGGTGGATCTCGTCCAACAGATCCCAGAGACAGCTGCTTTGCATTAGTTTTTCTGTAATGTCAGAAATATCTGTCTTTTGTACAGTTAAATGCATAATTCTTCTACCTACTGCTGTTCCCTCTACAATATACAAGTTCAGAAATTCAGAAACATTTCAGTTTCCTTTTAACATTTCCTTTTAGTTTTGCTTTGTAATTTGTTAAAAATGTTTGAAAATGGAACTGAACAAGGTCTTATCACGTTTCCTAGCCTGTCAACTCCAGTGCCTAAGCAAACAGCAAGTGCTGACCAGCCATACTTACGGGTTTCAGCAGGATAAAGGACTGGGCCAGCAAGTTGCTTAGGAAGTGGTCGTGAGCCATTCGGATGCTTTCAAAGTCACGGGTAGAATTGATCTGATGAAGCAGCTGTGAGAACTGAGATTCTAGCACATCTACCTGATAGACAGTGACACAAATAATTTCACCACCTTATATTCTAGTCACCTACATCAGATCTGACAGGACAGAACAGAAATTCCTTGCTGCCGCTTGTCTTCCCCAAAGCACTTTCAAGCTCACCAAAGACCACAGCCACGCAGGACATTATCTCTGTAATTCCTTACCACTTCCATTGTCTTTTGTTTTTTCCACTTCCGGTGTCTTGGGGACCCTTCTCTCCTGCCCCAGCCTAATCCCCACTCATGCTCCATCCCTCTGTTTGCTGACTTCAGCTAGTCTCATAGGATTCCACAAGCTCTAGCGAACACCCTGGGACAAGTCAAACACTGCGCTGCTGAAAGGACCCTAACTCCTATTCCCCTGTCCGGAGGGACGGGTGTAACCTAAGTTTTCGCAAATGTGAGCACGTAACTAAATACAGAGCTGCAGACCCTCTTATCTACCACCTACCACCTTCTAGACTTCATCCCTTGTCTCTGCTCCTCCCCAGCACGCACCTGGAGATAGTACTGGAGGTTATCCACCAGGAAAGCCATGTGATTTCGAAGGCGCCACTTGACTGCATCGGTCTGGTTAGACTTGAGGTGCTTGCGCTGCATCTGCAGGGCCCAGCAGTGCTGCAGTTCAGCCTGGACCCGGCGCACACTCAGCAGATACTTGAAAACAACGTTGTACCTAGGACGGGGTATCAGGGCTCTTGAGACAAACTCCAGCCCCACAACAAACTAGGACTCTGTGCCACCTGCCTCCCTCAAACAGGCAGGGAAGAAGAATGGCTGGAGACTCCGATACAGGTGTTGTAGCTCGTGTGGTTAAGGGTCACACAGCAGTCAAAATGCAACGTAAGAGTGACTCTTAGCAATGCAATTCTGAATGAAAGGGGTAAAGTGGAAAAGATCACATTTTTTTGTTTTGTTTTTTGGTACTGGGGATTGAACTCAGGTCCTTGCGCTTGCAAGGCAGGCCACCGAACCGCTGAGCTAAATCCCTTGCCGAAAAGATCACATTTTTTTGTTTTGTTTTTTGGTACTGAGGATTGAACTCAGGTCCTTGCGCTTGCAAGGCAGGCCATCGAACCGCTGAGCTAAATCCCTTGCCGAAAAGATCACATTTTTTTGTTTTGTTTTTTGGTACTGAGGATTGAACTCAGGTCCTTGCGCTTGCAAGGCAGGCCATCGAACCGCTGAGCTAAATCCCTTGCCGAAAAGATCACATTTTTTTGTTTTGTTTTTTGGTACTGAGGATTGAACTCAGGTCCTTGCGCTTGCAAGGCAGGCCATCGAACCGCTGAGCTAAATCCCTTGCCGAAAAGATCACATTTTTTTGTTTTGTTTTTTGGTACTGGGGATTGAACTCAGGTCCTTGCGCTTGCAAGGCAGGCCACCGAACCGCTGAGCTAAATCCCTTGCCGAAAAGATCACATTTAAATAAGTCTTAAATGAGCTAAAAGCAAAAAAAAACAAAACAAAAACAAAAACCCCTTTGGGGTAATATACAAAGATTTTATAAAACTATAGAGAAAGGAAAGAAAACAAGGTATTTATAATCTTAGCCACCTTGGGTGGGGAGGCAGGAGGACAGGACTGGGAGGAACACATAAACATGAAAATTAGTTGTGACTGTCATGGCTGTGTCTAGATGTCACCCAAAGGCTTATGTGCTCACAGGTGGGGCTTTTCAGAGGTGGCTGGATCTAGTGCATGAACGTGGATTGAAGGTGTGCAGAACTGCTTTAGTCCACTGGATTATCATAGCTCTGCGTTTGGGTAATGGGAAGCTGTGCCCTGGAGGTATGGCACTACCCAAAGGCTTGCAGCTTGGATAGGATAAGAGGGAAAGGGAGGGTTACTGCTTGCTGCCTCCTGCCTGCTCTGCCATGGAACCCTGCCTTAGAGTCAGCCAACTATGGACTGAAACCTCTTCAAACTGAGCTAACTAAACCTTTCCTCGTTTAACTTTGGGTGTCAGGTATTTTGTCTCAACAAGGAGAGAAAGAAACTAAGAGTGATACAGGATGATGGGATAGCAGGAGGGCCTTCCACGAACCAATAATAAGAGTGTATCATGAACCAAGGATTATGAGGAGCCTGATTCTCTGTCCCAAAGGCCCAAAGAAGAAAATCAGCTTCTCTCAGTGACAGCACAGCTCTGCCTTCCATGAACTCAGGGCTCACTGCATAATGTTGAACTCTGTACTGAGAAGACATGGAAGAGCAGCTGGTTCTTTGAATAGGAGGCATGATCTGCTCAAAGGCAGACCTGCAAGAAGACAATTCAATTTTACTTGGTTTTAAGTCTTTTTTAACAAACATTGAAATAGTAGACCCTGTGTGCTGGGAGGCTGAGGCAGGAGGATCACAAGTTTGACCCTACCCTGGACAAGTGAGACCCTGCCTCAAAATAAAGGGGGGGGGGGCAAAGGACTTGGAGCCAGTCCCTATATCACCCCCCAAAAAGGGGGGGGCTTTGGATACTGATAAGAACAAAGCTAATTTAAAGACGTTTTTAGATAAATGGGATTACTATTAAGTTTTCCTGGTGTGTTGGGGCTTTGCAGCTGTGATGGAACTGCCTCTGTGCACTCTGCAGCAGCCAGGTGAAATGACTGTCTTGGGGCTCACTCTCACGGCTCTGGTGTCTATGGCCAAGGGACAGGTGCAGCAAGCAGTGTGATGCTGGTGGCTACTGAAGCTGGAGAATGTGGACGAGGGAGCTCTTTACAGTCTGTACTTCTGTGTATATTTAGAATTTTTCATAATAAAAGCTAAAGAACATTTCTAGATCCTCCCAGGGTTCAGAGTGTGTTGAGCAGGGAGGTGTGGGCTGTGACCTACAGAGCTGCAAGCTGTGGTGCATGGGGCTCCTGGACGAGATCTGTGTACCCTACGGGCTGCCCATCTTAGCTCTCCCTGCGTGTGCCCAGGTCTTCCCAGACAGGGCTGGAAGAGGAGATGGGCCTTCTGCTTTCTTCTATTCCTTGAGCCTCACTGAGCGTGACAGCTTCCCTGCCGCTTTCCTGAGGAGGAGATTCTCCCACCTCCTTTCCTGGAGCGGTGCTTCCCTTGTGGTTTGGGGACATGAGGTCCAGACCAGAACAGCAACAGTACAGGCAGACTCTTGTAAAGAACACGGCTGGTCTCAAGCCATGTTGGTCCAACTCCCTTAGCCATCCCTGTGGCTTGGCTGCCCCGGTGACCTCCCTCTTGGGGAAGGGGGTGGATCTCCCAGTTGCTAAATCAGGCCCGAGAATCTCAAGGAGGGCAGGATTTAGCTCAGTGGCACTGTGCCTACTGTGTAAGCGCAAGGTCCCGAGTTTGATCCCCAGTACAAAAGTCGGGGGGAATTTGTCAGGTCTATGTATTATTGTGATCTGGCTGCCCCTATAGAGACAGCAGTTCCCACTCTCTGATTTACAGATAGTCACAAACTAATTGGGTGACTCTCTTGTTCCAGCCAGTTCTGTTCCTTCAATTTTCCTCCCTTGGAAGGTGGGTAATGTTTACGTGTGAGACACTAGGAATACTCACTTTTCCAGTACAGCTGGGGTGAAAAGAATGTGCAGAGGCCACTGTACTTTGTAGGAAAGGCCCAGGGCTGCCCAGCCAGATGCAGGGGCTTCCCGGGGGGAAGTTTCCCGAGAAGGCCCTTCTCTTGCCTGAATGCCATCTAGGATAAAGAAGAGGAATAAGGGATGACAGAATCAGATTCAACAAAGGTGAGCAACATTTGTGAAATGAGCTTACTAGAGAGACTCAGAGGCAGTGGGCAAGGAGATTTCCAAGTGACGATCTCCTGTGGGGGCTTTCAGAGTCTTTCAGCACTAAAGCTGGAGGCTGGAGAAAACAGGCCATCCCACGAACACCATGGCCTGGCCATCTCACTTAACTTTTCTAGGCTTCCAGTCTTTCTTTTTTCTCTTGTACATGAGAAGAGGACTGGACTGGATGCTAAGGCCTAAAGTGATAATTACCTGGTGTCTATGGAGGTGGGAAGCAGAGGTGGGAAAAACAATATGACCAGAGGAGCGGAAAGGTGCAGAAAAAGGCAAACCTTTGTGCTCCTTCCCATGAAACTCGATGGTCAAGTGCAACAGAGGGAGAAGGTTGTCGTCATCCAGCAATACCTTGTGTGCTGACTGCTGAAAAGCCACATTCACATCTGCCAAGAAAGGACGCAGGTTGACGGCCGTGGCTGTGGGACACAACGGACAGCTACTGCTTCTGCCTGATCAGCATTAGCTTCTTCACCCTTTTGCTGGTGAAGTGCTGTGCAGAACCATCTCTGCCCCAAACAGCGCAGATGGCTCTGTGTGTGGCACCGTGACCTGGTTCTAGGGCTGGCTGGTGTGCCAGGCGTGCACACAGAATGTCACGCTCTTGTGCACACTAGTTCAGGATATGAAAGTGACCCAAACCAGGCCAATCTGGAGGCTCTACTTAGATACTTTTAAAACAGTGGCGCTCTTCTTGTGAGATTAACAGGAACTTAATACACTGGAGCGTATCTTGCTACCACTTGGGATGGGCTGTCTAAAACAAAAGGCAGAGATGAAGGACAGGAAGAGATACTAGGTACTAAAGACATCAGGTGAGCCCCAGGAGAGCCACCACACCTCGGGGCTTTCCAGATGTAAGAATCAGTAGGTTCATCAGTAGGTTCTTTCATTTCTTGTACCCAATTTACGTGTTTGAACTGCAATTTTTCTTTTTCTTCTTTTCACCTCTCCCCCTCTTCTCTTTCATTTCTCCCTCTCTCTTTCTGTCCCGGGAATCCATACATGCTCAGCAAACACCCACCATGAAGCTACATTCCTGAATTGGATTTTCTTATATCTGCCACCAAAAAATGTTAAGTACAATGGACATACATTCTTTTATTGAGTCAGAAGAAAAGAAACACCATGTATTTTTTTCCTTTACCTTTTTCCCCCACTCCGGGACTGGGGATCAAACTTAGGACATTGTGCTTGCAAGGCAGGCGTGGTGCCACTGAGCTATATCCCTGGCCCTATTCTTTTCTTTTTTGCTCTGATCCTTACCCAACTCTCTCCATAGAGTCTGAAGGAAAACAGCCATTAACTATAGGGGTGGACACTTTGTTGAACTAGGCCTTAGTGTCGGACCTCTTTACTGATACAGGATAAGCATGTGAACCGGACTGGGCCAATCAAAACCTTTTCCCTGGAATTCTTTCCCTTATGAGACACCAGGGGGGAGGCTTGTTCTGATGGTCCCAGAAAGTCTGCAGAGTACAAGAGATACAGCAAGACACAGGGAGAGAGAAAACTGATAGTATCTAAGTCCCTCATTTCAGTTGTTTGAGGTCCAGTTATATTCCTGCCCCACTCTTGTTTTAGATAGACAGCAAATAAATCCCCCCTTTTAAACTAGGCTGGCTCAGGGTAGGTTTCCACTGTCCATAACAGAAAGAAGTCTATGTAATAAATACTGTTAGACTAAGTCCCAACAGGCCCTATTGGACAGAAGTGCTGCATCTGGCGAGACAAAACACCTGGTGTGAGGCCCGCACCAACTCATCACAGACAACCACCAGGCAAGGTGCTGATACTAATGGCCATGGCCTGAAGCCGACCTGCAAGTCTTCTTCCTCCGGAAGCACTGCTCTGTGACTCACCAGGCCACTCGCATGTGGAGCAGGCAAGAAGCACCCTGAACTTCAGCAAGATGGACATTTGGGGGCCACAGGGTAATTACCATGCTCAGTTACTGCAGTGGGCGGCGTTTTTAACATGTGCTGAGCCGTGTCAATGAAGGCCTGAAACAGTTCTCCTCGTCCCAGAAGGTAAAAGTCTTTAATGATCTAGGGAAATAATTTCAGTTTGCAAATCAGTAAAGCAGGGCCAGAGGTCTTTACTACCCCAGTCTCACCAATCTGAAGGACATGGGTTTTGGCATTTCAAAAAGGCACATGAGCAGCTCCTCACATGAGGGTGATAATCATTTATTCAATGGCAACATAATTATATTAAACAGAAGAAAGTAAACGGGGTTTTTAGCACAAGGTATCATCTGCTTAGCTGAGTAAGACCCTGTGAAGTCTGGGTACAGGCAATCAGGGCTCTCAGAAACAGTTAGTGAATGGAAGTCTGTGTCTGCCTGCACCACTATTGGAATTAAAAGAACAGCTAAGTTATTACCTTCAGCTGACCCAGTAAATCTGACTCTTCTACCATCAGCTTCCAGAGATGCTGTGAAAACAACCACAGAAGTTTATTTCAATGCAACTCCCACAAATCCAGCCACGTGCTGAAGACTATACACACACTGATTCAGTTACTCCCAGCAGTGAGCAAACAGCTTGACAATGAACAAAAGCACGAGATATAAATGTCCTGAAATTAGTGGTAACAGCTGCACAACATTATGAATATATTAAAACCTAATGATGTGCACCACTTTAAGATGGCTAAAATGTTGACTATTATGTTCTGCTTTAATTTAGTTAAAAAAAATTTAGTTTAAAAGTATGATTTTACTACATTAAAGCTTGAAGGAGAAAAACCCTGATTATCTCAACAGATACAGAAAAAGCATTTGATAAGATTATATGATCACAATTATGTTTTGTTTTGTTTTGAGACAGGGCCTGCCTCTCTATATAGTTCTGAGAAGAAATTACTCCACTCCTCCGGATAGAATTGGGCAACTATGAGTTAACAGGGTGACTATGTTCTTTGTGGAATGCACCTGAGTAACCATGACAACTTCTTTAATCTGTCACCAGAGGAGCACAGTGGACTCAGTCCTTCCAGAACTCTTTGCTCTCCCCCTCTCCACTGCTCTGCTATGTGTAAATCCTGCTTGCTACATTCCCAGGGAAACACCAATGGAATTAAACTTCTGGATGTAAGAGGAGGTATGTACAGAAGAGCAAACTTCTATTCCATGACACAAGTCCCCTTTAAGCCACTGGCTAATAGAGCCACTTCTGCTTCTATCTCACATGTTTTAGAGCTTTGTCTGGGAGTTGTCCAGTTTCTTGTTGCAGTTCAGGTTATCCTTGAACTCACTATGTAGCCTAGGATGGCCTCAAACTCACAGTGATCCTCCAGCCTCCAAGTGCTGGGATTATAGGTGTGCACCAACACACTCAGCCCAAACTGTCTGATTAACAGATAGCATCACTATTTTCACAAAAAGTCCAAAACAATGGACACTCAGAGCATGAGAACTATTAAGAGAATTCAGCCAGATTAATGATAAAAAATGCAAAATTTAAGTGCACAGCTTTAGGATTTGCCCAGTGAAGGGATCAATGACACTCAAGATGCAGAGATTCCCCACCCTGGAGTGGGCCCCTTTCACTTTACCCTGGAAACGGTCACAAAGTAGGAAATGGCCTCTGCTGCTCCTACAGTACACATTTCTAGACAAAGTAGCTGACATCCCCAGGGGAATATAAGCTCCTTATACCGCACACCAAGCCCTGCCACCCTGGTATACTGACATGACTAGGGGCCTTCTAGAGCTCCCTGACAAGACTGAGGTACCTGTCACCCTAGATGAAGAGTCTTGCCTATCATCAAGAATGCAGGAACTCCATGGTTCCCCCTCTGCCAGCAGTCCCTGTCCAGTAACTGGTGAGTTCAGAGGCATAGCAACCTTACCCCAAGCCCACCTGGGATGTCTCGGAAAGACCCTCAGAGCATCAGAGCTCTGTGCAGAACTGGTCAGGGGCACCCACCACAACTGTGCCACAGTGAAACTTTTCCCCAGGCTTAGTTCTGCTGCCCCTAGTTCTTGCAGCTAATTCTTAGTCTCAGAATCTGCCTCCTGGAAAATCTGACCTATGACACAAAACAAGAATTTAAAATACTACTTCTTCTTCTTTTTTTTTTTTGTACCGGGGATTGGAACTCGGGTCCTTGCGCTTGCAAGGCAGGCCACCAAACCACTGAGCTAAATCCCCGGCCTAAAATACTTCTTGATATGCTTTAAGTGGTAAAGATAATAGCAGTATAAACATAAAGAAAAAAATCTGAGTTGTATGAACAATTAGATATCCACATGCAAAAACATCAAAACTTGATTTATACCTTATACCACAGAAAAATGAACTCAAATGATCTGAAAAATCTTAAAATTTTAGGAAGAAACCAGGGAAGAATTTTTTGTGAGCTTGGGTTAGGCAAAGATTTCTTAGTCACATTAAAAACTTGTCCATTATAAAAAAATGAGGTAAATTGTACTTCATCAAAATTAACAACTTCTGCTGGCCGTGGTGGTGCATGCCTCTAAACACAGCACTCTCGAGGCTGAGGGAGGAGGATCACCTGAGTTTGAGACCCTCCTGCACTCTGGGATCTGTAGTGAGTTCAAGACCAGCCTGAATTACAGTGAAACCTTACCCCCTGAAAAAAAGATTTTTACAAAAGACCATTAAAATGCAAACTAGGGGCTGGCGATTTAGTTCAGTGGTGACCCTGCCTGCCTCAAAAGCCCAAGGTCCTGAGTTTGATGCCTGGTAACAAAACAAAACAAAACAAAACAAAAAAAAAGCAATTTAACTTATAGTGAAAGGAGAAGACAGGTGGTTGCTTAGAGAACAGGAGGGTAGAAAAAGTGGGATAAAAGGAGACAGGTAGAAAATAAAGGATGGAAGGGAAAAAAATCAGGTAAAATGATCCTAGACAAAGCAAAATAGTGTGACCTTAATAACATTTAAGCCCCTTATCTCTCTTCTCACCAGTGATAACAGAGAACATTACATATACAGAAAAAGAAAAATGTATAGATTATGTGTGTAGATGCACCTAATATATACCCTCAAAATGAGCAACCAGAAAACATGTAGGGGGCTGGGGACTTAGCTCAGTGGTGCCACTGCCTGCCTCGTAAGCGCAAGGTTCGAGTTAAATCCCCGGTACCAAAAAAAACAAAAAACAAAAAACAAAAAACAAAACATGTAGACTCTACACTCAACACAATACACATTCTCTGGGTACATACACAATAATTAAAGCCAAAGAACATACTGTATTAGTCCATAAAGGAAGCTGCGCAAAATTCCAAAGAACTGGGAAGGAAGGGAATTGGGAGAAAAAGAGGGATCAAGATATACCATGTAGATTTTTACCTGATCTGTTTTCTCTTTCACTTTGATTATGGTATCCTCTAAAAGAGAAACTTTATAGTAATATAATTCCTGCCACCTGCCTTGAAAGTGCAAGGTTCTGAGTTCAATCCCCATTACAAAAAATAAAAAAAGAATATAATTCATTAAAATGTAAAATACATGACAGCTTAAGGAATAACAAAGAATAAACTCATGTATTTACTGAAATGCTGAAATTTCTCATTCATAGCTTTAGCACTTCCAGATTATGTGACTTCCTTTAAGAGTGATTTGGAAATGCTTAAGAAATTATCAGAAGATGGCATAATCAATTTTAATGAGTGTGATGATAATGAATCAACTCCAGCGCATAAAGCATACTATAACCCATACCATAAAGATAACTTTGAGGACTTTCAGGAAGATATCAGAGTGGTGAGCAGCAGAGAAAGAGCATCTCTGAGATTTGGTGTCCTGACACTGGAATATGGCAGCATGAGGAAAAGGAGAGAAGTGGGTGCCCACATCTCAGGAAGGATCTGAAGTGAGAATTGAAACTCACAGGGCGAGCCAACAGAGAGACTTCAATGAAGAGGAAGGAGACAACAAGCAGTGTTCTCTCCGAGTTTGGACTCACAAATGGGAACAGCAGGTCAAACCTGCAGACATAGGCTGATTACTGGTATCCCTAGAGGCCTCCACAGAAAAACACATCAGTAAAACAGAGCAGTGGATGCAGCAGACTGTAGTGCTGGTGTTATTTGGGTTCAGATATCACCCAGGAGAGGGTGATTAGCCAGTAGCCATCTTGGAGAAGTGCCAACTGAGCTCAGAATTCAGAACAGCTTTGGGCCAACTGCATCTAGTGGCTTGCAGTGTCTTGGAGAGGATGCGGGGTTCAAGTCAGCAGGAGTTTAGGGAGCAGAATTCAAGTTGGCAGGGAGCCAAGTTCAAGCTGGCAGGAGGTACATGGGCCATTGCAGGATTAAAAAAAAAAAAAAAAAAAAAATCCAGTCCCAGTGTCATAGCCAGAAACCAGCCTGAACTTCAGTCTGAAACAAAGGTGCAGTCCAGTTGGGATTATCCACTACCCCTGGCTAGCTTGTTGGGATGAAGCAATTTGACTCTGGACTCTGTCTACCCACATTGTCTGCCAGTGACAGCACAGACACACCCTGAATTGGCCTTCATTGCCCCTCCTTTTGTAAGAGCCTGACTGAACCAGAGCGACTCCATGTTGACCAGCAAACGACCTAGAGACTGTCGCTCCCCCCCATCGCTTATAGGATAACTAATGATTGTGAATTGTTAGGTAACTGCTTTGAGGTAGCTGGGAAACTAAATGAAAACTGTAGTGAACACAGAGACCCAACACAAATCACGCCACTCCTTACTTGCCTGTAGTTGAATGTTCTGAACATTATAATCTAAGTTGTAAATGGAATAATGGATAATCGATCTGCTGATCATTAGTACGTGACGGTCAAGTATATGCTTGATGACCACTAGCTCAGATCAACTGATTCTTTGCCTTTGTCCTCTTCCTGGAAGTTTTAAGGGTAACCCCCCCCCTTAGCCCTATATAAAATGGCCTCTGTTTCTGAGCTAGCCGCCTCTCTGAGCTACTTGGCTTGGGGAGTGCCGTCTGGCCAGACTAATAAAGGTCTATTTGCCAACTTGCCTGGTGTGTTCCTTCCTGGGTGACTCTCGCTGTGCGACAAGCTCCTGGAGCCTCGCTGAGCTTCTGAGCCCAACATCGTGAATGCCTCTTGGCTGTTCACGCTCCAGGAGTAAAAGTGAGACTTAAGTCTTACATCTTGGAGGCCCCAGCGAGATCCCCAAGTGGGAATTGTAAATCCGGCCGAGATTCTCTGTTGCAGGATCCAGCAGGAGATTCTCAGACATAGACCTGAAAAGCCTCCGAGGTAAGTTTTGAATCGGTTGCAACCATGTGATGTCAGGATAGAGGTGGCTGACGAGCCGGGAAGCCTCACCTGACCCCGGCCCTGACGAGGATTTCCGGGTAGAATCTAAGTTCTTTTTCTTTTGTGTGGCACCTGTGTGTCTTGTCTGTGTCCTGTCTGTTGAGTGTTAACTTTACATTCATTCCTAGGAACAAGATGGGAGGATCGA